TGTTACGTACTTGTAAACTATTTTGTAGTGTGGTATAAGGAAAGGTTGATTTCATATAGTATACAGTAGAATTAATATGGCTTGTGGACGGGAAATTTAAATAATGTTGTCCAGATGAGGGCGACATGACACACTAATTTTGTGTGTTTTGTGAATTTAGAAGTAAAATACTTGAATTAAATTTAGTATGAATGAATGTAATTAGTTTGAGTATATTTATTGCGCAAATTATGAATTACTGCGATGTTATAGTCTAGTTATGAACTGTTGTAGACATGTATTAAATTATCTCTAAGCTGGGGAAGTGAGACGTTATGTGAGTAACGGAATTATGATCAACGTGGTCACTGGTCTTGCTATCAATATGCAAGTTTAGGACCTGGACTTGAATGTTGGTTTTGCATTCGCCACTGATGACGTAGCTATACTGTCCTTCCTTGTGAAGTACTGCTAGTTATCTCCGCCGACCATTGAATTCGCGCATTTTGAAGATGTACCATGCTTATTGCTCTCCATTGAAGACACATTTTCTTGAACTGTGAGTACAACATATGCATACCTCACCAAGCTGCCGAATAACTGACTGAGCATACTGGCACTAGTATAGAAACCTTGTGTGGTATATTATCGTGACATTCAAGTAACATTGTCTCCGAGTTGACTGTAAATGCTTTGTGATGTTGAGCAGGGGTGCAGGTAGTATTTAAGTGAGAATGGTGAACCTTGCATTTAGTTGAATATATATTTACCCGTACATATCTTTTTGGCATTTACATTTTTAATAGTTGTTGTAATTTGAATGTTGATGAACTTATGCGGGGAACTATCGTATTTGTAGTCTGGGGTTGTATTTCATGAAATGTCCACCTGCCATAATTATTTAGATTTTGTGTGGATAATTAATATTTAATAATTCCTATCCATGTCTGTACTCACTGTTATTACTGTTAAGAACAATATTTCTGGACTAGTGCAATAAAAACTAGTTATGTATTAAAAATACTTATTGTGTATCATATTTCATTATCGGAAGTGGGGGTTCGTACCATACATTAGTCTCGGGGGTCGAGTCTGTATTCTCACCTGGACCTTACCCTAGGGACGTAACACCGTGCAAAAATAAAGATATTCAGTATTGTTTAAAGGGAT